TTACTGATTCATGTTCGCTATCAACTGTATTAGAAATTGTGTGAAGTTGCTGCTCGAAAACTCATTATTTCCTTATTTTGCTGCTTCTCAATAAAAGTTTTTACATAACAAAATGGGGGGGGTGGATTTTATTGTGAAGAATGTACAGGAGATTAAATGTAGTAATCACTGAATTAGCTGAACTTTGTTAGCTGCTTTTCTTAAATAAAGACATGTCTAATAATACCACCAGGAGGAAGAGTTAAATCAGAATCAGCCACAGTGCGATGTTAGATGAAGAGCTGCAGACAACAGGCTCTTACTGCATCTCTGCAGACAGCTCACCCCCAACAGGTAAACTTCTTCTATCTGCCCTGCTGTGTGATGGAAAAACACATGCAGCAAAAATAACAGGTGACTTCAGCCGTGGATCAGCTTGCAACTTGCTACTGAACATGTAGCCTTTGTAGAAAATACTGACATATATACAGGTGCATCGCAATAAATTAGAATATCATCAAAAAGTTGATTTATTTCAGTAATTCGATTCAAAAAGTGAATCTCATATATAGTACAAATTCATTACACACAAACTGATGTATTTCAAGTGTCTGTTTCTTTTAATATTGATGATTATAACTGACAGCAAATGAAAACCCAAAATTCAGTATCTCAGAAAATTAGAATATTACTTAAGACCAACTTAAAAAAAGGATTTTTAACACAGAAATGTTGGACTACTGAAAAGTATGAACATGTACAGCACTCAATACTTGGTCGGGTTTCCTTTTGCCTGAATTACTGCAGCAATGCGACGTGGCATAGCGACGATCAGTCTGTGACACTGCTGAGGTGTTATGGAAGCCCAGGTTGTTCCGATAGCGGCCTTCAGCTCTTCTGTGTTGTTGGGTCTGGTGTCTTACACCTTCCTCTTCACAATTCCTATTAGATTCACTATGGGGTTTAGGTCAGGCGAGTTTGCTGGCCAGTCAAGCACAGGGATACCATGTTCCTTAAACCAGGTAGTAGTACCTTTGGCAGTGTGGGCAGGTGACAAGTCCTGCTGGAAAATGAAATCCACATCTACATAAAGTTGGTCAGCAGAGGGAGGCATGAAGTGCTCTAAAACTTGGCAGATGACTGAGCCTGGACCTGAGAAAACACAGCGGAGCAACACCAGCAGATGACATGGCTCCCCAAACCACCACTGACTGTGGAAACTTTACACTAGACCTCAGGCAACTTGGAGTCTGTGCCCCTCCTCTATTCCTCCAGACTCTGGGACCTTGATTTCATACTCTCATCTGAGAAGAGGACTTTGGACCACTGAGCGACAGTCCAATCCTTTTTGTCCTTATCCCAGGTACGATGCCCCTGACGTTGTGTCTGGTTCAAGAGTGGCTTGACACAAAGAATGTGACAGTTGAAGTCCATGTCCTGGACATGTCTGTGCGTGGTAGCTCTTGAAGGACTGACTCTAGCTGTAGTCCACTCCTTGTGAATCTCCCCCAAATTCTTGAATGGGCTTCGTTTCACAATCTCCTAAAAGCTGCGGTTATCCCTGTTGCTTGTGCACCTTTTTCTACCACATATTTTCCTTCCATTCAACTTTCCATCAATGTGCTTGGATACAGCACTCTGTGAACTGCCAGCTTCTTTAGCAATGACCTTTTGTGTCTTACCCTCCTTGTGCAGGGTGTCAATGATCGTCTTCTGGACAACGGTCCAGTCAGCAGTCCTCCCTATGATTGTGTAGCCTACTGAACCAGACTGAGAGACCAGTTAAAGGCTCAGGAAACTTTTGCAGGTGTTTTGAGTTAACTAGCTGAGAGTCTGACACCATGAGACTTCAA